AAAGGGGAAAGGCGGCTTGGTTGTGAGCGTCCTTCCACAGAGCCCCGACAGAGGGCGCTGCCGCCCGCCGGATGCTGGGAAGCCGCCCAGGGACGGCCTGGGTGGATGGATGGATGGGTGGATGGGTAGGTGGATGGGTGGATGGATGAGTGAGTGGGTGGATGGGTGGGTGGATGGGTGGATGGATGAGTGGGTGGGTGGATGGGAGGGTGGGTGGGTGCGTGGATGGGTGGATGGATGGATGGGTGGATGGATGGATGGGTGGATGGATGGATGGATGGATGGATGGATGGATGGATAGATGGATGGATGGGGTTTTTCCCTTCAAATTTTCTAGGATTCCGCCCCCTCCCCCGCGGCTGTCCACATCGGAAAAGACACAAAACACTGCGGTTTGGGTTCGCCTGTGCATTGCTTCAGGGTTTGCCTGTCTGCCGTGCACGTTCATTTCTTTCAGGTCTATTCCATTCTTAATTTTTTTAAAAAAAAAAAGTTTTGTTTTCATTTCTTGTAGTCTAAAGTGAATGATAACCAGATGGATGGACGTGTTTACTGTTCACAAACCTAGCATCCGTGTAACGTGTCCTCTATGAAAATACGTTTTAAGGAAGCCACAAAACAGCAAAACCCACCCACTAGATCGTTTAAAAAGTTGAGTATCTGGACTGCTGGCTGTGGGTTGCTTTGTTTCCTTGAAGCTCATTTTCCCCCTTTCTTCCTGACGAGTCGGTTGGGTGTGGAAAGGTGATTAGCATTGTAGCAGAAGGTTTAAGACATTGAAAGACCATTTGTCCAGATGCCTCTGGTTGGGTCAGGATGTTCGTTACATAATAAAAAACAAAGAGGGGCGGGCGTGAGGGGGGCGGGCTGCTCCTCGCCGCGGTGCAGTGCGGTGCAGTGCGGTGCGCGGGACCGCGGAGCCCGAGGGTCCAGCTCCAGGTCCGCCAGGACGGCCCTCGCGGGCACGGATCGGGCTGAAGGCCGCGCCGGGCGGGCGGAGACCCGATGCACCCCACGGAACCCGAGCAGAAGCGGCGCCTTCCAACCCCACGGGCGAAAAATAAAATCTTTGCAGAGGAGAAGCCTGACGATTCTGTGTGCTTTACATTGCTAGCAAAGAAGGAAGGAGGGAAGAAAAAGAGAGAGGGGGGGAGGAAGGAAGGAAGGAAAGAAGGGGAAGGAAGGAAGAATGAGAGCAAAAAAAGAGGGAAAGACAAACAGGAAGAGAGGGAAAGAGGAAGGGAAGAAAGAGGGAGATGAAGGAAGGGAGGAAGGGAGGGAGGGAGGAAAAGAGGAAGGGAGAAAGGAAGAAATGAAAGGAGGAAGGAAAGGAAGGAGAATGGGAGCAAAGAAAGAGGGAGGGTCGGAAACGGGAAGAGAGGGAAAGAGGAAGGGGGAGAAAGAGGGAGAGGAAGGAAAGGAGGGAGGAAAGGAGGAAGGGAGGGAGGGAGGAAAGGAGGGAGGAAGGGAGGGAAGGAGGGGGGGAGGGAGGGAGGGAGGGAGGGAGGGAGGGGTCACGCGACCTGTGCGCTGGGACTGAAGCGGGTTTCGGAGCTGCGTTTTCCTCCGCGCGCCTCCCTGTTTCTATCATTTGACTTACGGGTTTTTTTTTTAACAACAACAAATTAAAGAAGAAGTCGGGGTTCCCCGGGCGCCCCGCGGCTGTGTGGCGTGGGCCGGGGGCCGTCCGAAGAGGAGCCGGGGCCGGGGCGGGGCGGCCGCTCCGCACCCCACCGCGCGGCCCGCCCCGCCGGCCGCGCCCGCCCTCCGCCCTCTGCCCCGGAGGGGGGCAAGACGTTTCCCAGAGCCCCCCTTCTGGTGGCCGGGGGGGGGCGCTCGGCACCCTGGGAGGGAGCAGAAGAAAGGGGGGGCTGCGTGTGCAGTGCGCCAGCCACCCCGGAAACTTGCGTCTTCCACACCTTGGAAGGGCTTGGAGGAACGTGACTCTGGATGGTTCTTTCATTTTCTCTGTTGAACCGCGTCTGTGTCGCCGTCACTTTCTGGGGACGCCCACGGCGGAACCCCGCGAACGCCGCGCTGCCCCGCGCCCCCAGCAACACGCGCAGCCCAGACCCAAACACCGCGGCGACCCGGCCGTCCCCAAAATGAAGATCACTTGAAACTTCTAGACGCCAGACCCCCCCCCCCCATAACGTCCCAACGCACAACGTCCCCCCATCTGCCCTCGCGTGGGCCAAGGCGGGCGCGCGTGGCTGGCCACAGCGAGAGGGGTCAAGCCAGAGGCTGGAGGCCATCAGGGGGTGGGGGGGCGGCCGGGCCCGGACCCGAAGGGGGACACCCCTCCCCCCCCCCCCCCCCCCCCGCCACCGGGAAGCGGGTGCCAGCCGCACCGTGGCCACCGCGATGCGCCCCGGGAAGTCGCCTCCACGCGCTGGGGAAGTGACTGGGAACCCGCGCCCGGTCAGCGTGGCGGCTGCTTGGTTGCTTGGTTGTTTGCTTGTTTGTTGGTTGGTTGGTTGTTGGTTGGTTGGTTGTTGGTTGTTTGGTTGTTGGTTGGTTGTTGGTTGGTTGCTTGTTTGTTGGTTGGTTGTTCGTTGGTTGGCTGTTGGTTGGTTGGTTGGTTGTTGGTTTGGTTGTTGCTTTGGTTGTTGGTTGGTTGGTTGGTTGTTGGTTGTTTGGTTGGTTGTTGGTTGTTTGCTTGTTGGTTGGTTGTTGGTTGGTTGGTTGGTTGCTTGGTTGTTTGCTTGTTTGTTGGTTGTTTGGTTGTTGCTTGGTTGTTGCTTGGTTGTTGGTTGGTTGTTGGTTGGTTGTTTGGTTGTTGGTTTGGTTGTTGGTTGGTTGGTTGTTGGTTGGTTGGTTGGTTGTTTGGTTGTTGGTTGGTTGGTTGGTTGGTTGGTGGTGGGTGGGTGGGTGGGTTGTTGGTTGTTTGTTGGGCCCCAGGCTGGACATGGCCTTGGCCTTGGTCCCTTGGCCCAGCACAGGGGGTGGGGGCCCCCGTTTCTCTTGCAGAATCGTGCATGGCTTTTTCTGAGAGGTTACCATGATTCATCGTTTTCCAGCCAAGGGGGTTTACACACATCTGTACACCTATGTACACACGTCTATACACATCTGTACACTCATGTATACACGTCTATACACATCTGTACACTCATGTACACACGTCTATACAATCTGTACACCCATGTACACACGTCTATACACATCTATACACCCGTGTACACATGTCTATACACATCTATACACCCATGTACACACGTCTATACACATCTGTACACTCATGTATACACGTCTATACACATCTGTACACTCATGTACACACGTCTATACAATCTGTACACCCATGTACACACGTCTATACACATCTATACACCCATGTACACATGTCTATACACATCTATACACCCATGTACACACGTCTATACACATCTGTACACCCATGTACACACGTCTATAAATGTCTATACACCCATGCATACACACACGCCTATACACATCTAAACACCCATGCATACACATCTATACATATCTATACAGCCATGTACACACATGGATACAATGTATCTCTTTACCCTGCATCTACTTGTAGTGAGTACATTTATAATAATCACGGGGAACGCTGATCTTGTCTTCCACGCGCGCTGCACACCAGCGGATGCTGTGATCCTGAGTGCAAATCCGCGTGTTATTCTTTAAAATAATGTGTGTGTGTGCGCGCACCCACGTCGCCGGAGCCTAGCATCTAATGTTCCCTCTCTCTCTCTCTCTCCCTCTCTCCCTCTCCCCCTCTCCCTCTCTCCCTCTCCCCCCCCTCTGCTGAGACTTCCTCCTGCCGCCCATTGTCTGAGGCAGCAGATATAAGTGGCGATGGGCGCGGGGCGCCGTGTGCGCCGCGCGCCCGCATTTTCAATTATAGATGGCTCATTACGGGGCGCGCAGGCCGGGAGACGCGGGCGGGCGCGGTTCACATGAATGCACTCGCCGCGGAGCGAGCCGGGCGCAGCCATGCTCTGGAAGCTGGTGGAGAACGTCAAGTACGAGGACATCTACGAGGTGAGCGCGGGGCCCGCGCCGGCCCGCGCGGGCGCACCGACCGACGGACGCGCGCTCGGACGGACGGACGCACGGACGGACGGTCGGACGAGCCGGTTAGGCGCCCGACTGGCAGACCGCGGTCTCCTCCGCCCGGGGCCCCGGGCGGCTGCGGCCGGCTGGGGAGGCCCGCGAACCTCCGATCGGCTATTTTGCGCCTCTTTCCCCGTCTCCCTCCCCGCGCGCGCCCCGACGGGGTGTCCGGGAGGACGGGAGGGCGCGGGGCCCGCGGGGTCCGGCCGGCGCCCGCGCGGCATTTTTACTCCGTTTTGGACGCGGGCGGAGGCCCGGGCTTTCCGCGCTGAGTCCCGAGGACGCGGCCCCGCCGCCCCCATCGCGGCCCGCGGACGCGGGGGGCCGAGGCCGGGGGGGGGGGGGGGCCGGGCCGCGGGCGCCGGGGAGGCGGCGGGGCGCGCGGGGCCGGGGCCGCCAGCGGGGCTTCGGGAAAGCCGGGCGAAGTCGCGGGAAGCGGGCGCAGCGGGCCGGACGCCCGGCGGGGCTCCCGGGGGCCGGGCCGCGGGGCGCGGGGCCGGGCCGGGGCGGGGGGGGGGGGGACGGGCCCGGCGGAGGGGCGCGCGGGGCGCACGGCCCGGCCCGGCCCCGCCGGCTCCGCGGGCTCGGCCGCCTCTCCTCTCCGTACCAAGCGGGACGGGGCGCTAGAACTCTCTGGAAGCAAAGTCGCCCCGCGCAATAAATCCACGGGGCGCGGAGAGCGGAGGCCGACGGCTTGGGATGGCCGCGTTCCGACACCCCGAGAACCCCCGATCCGCGATGAATAAAGGGCAATGGAGAAGACGGAGGAGGAAGGAAGAAGGGAGAGAGAGAGAGGGAGAGAGAGAGAGAGGGGGAGAGAGGTGGAGAAAATGGGGGGGGGGAGAGAAAAGGGGAGGGAGAGAGAGGGAGAGCGAGCGAGCGAGCGCGGTGGAGGTATTGGCGAGGGCCGGCGCGGCGGCGGCCGCTCTGCGGGCAGGGGCGCGCGTGGTGGAAGGCAGGATTTTGTTTAAGTCTGGACGGAGGTTGAACTTTAACAGAAATGGCCGCAGTCCGGCCGGTTGCACGGGTTCTGCCAAGAGCCAAAAAGGTTCCCTGTGGCCCCTGGCCTGGCTTGGAAAGGAGAAGTGCGGTGTTTCTTGAAGATGGATTGCGTAGAGTGTAAATCGAGGTAAAGAAAAAAAAAGAAAGAAAGAACGAGAGAGAGGAAGAAAGCAGAGAGACGGAAGAAAGGAAAGAGAAGGAAGGAGGAAAGGAAGGAGGAAAAGAAAAAGGAGGAGAAGGAAGGAAGGAAAGAAAGAGAAGGAAGGAACGGAAGGAAGAAAAGAAAGGAGGGGAAGGAAGGAAAAAGAAAAAGGAAGGAGGAGGGAAAGAGAAAGAGCAGGAAAGGAAGGAAGAAGGGAGGAAAGGAAGGAAAGAGTAAAAAAAGGAAAGAGGGAGAGAAGGGAGGAAGGAAGGAGGGAACGAAGGAGAGAAAAAAGAGAGGGAAGGAGAAAAAAGGAGGGGAAGGGGGAAGGAAGGAGGGAGGGAAGGAAGGAAAGAGGGAGGGAAGGAAGGAGGAAGGGAAGGAAGGAAGGAGGGAAGGAAGGAAGGAAGGAGGGAAGGAAGGAGGGAGGGAAGGAAGGAGGAAGGGAATGAGGGAAAGAAGGAAGGAGGGAAGGAAAGAATGAGGGAAGGAAGGACGGAGGAAGGGAGAGAGGGAAGGAGGGAAGGAAGGAAGGAAGGAAGGAGGGCAGGAAGGAGGGAAGGAAGGAGAGAAGGAAGGAGGGCAGGAAGGAGGGCAGGAAGGAGGGAAGGAAGGAAGGAGGGAAGGAAGGAGGGCAGGAAGGAGGGAAGGAAGGAGGGAAGGAAGGAAGGAGGGCAGGAAGGAGGGAAGGAAGGAGGGAAGGAAGGAAGGAGGGAAGGTAGGAGGGAAGGAAGGAAGGAGGGAAGGAAGGAGGGCAGGAAGGAGGGAAGGAAGGAGGGAAGGAAGGAAGGAGGGCAGGAAGGAGGGAAGGAAGGAAGGAGGGAAGGAAGGAGGGAAGGAAGGAGGGAAGGAAGGAAGGAGGGCAGGAAGGAGGGCAGGAAGGAGCGGGCGGCGCAGGCCGCACGCGGGCCGCGGCCCGGCGCTCCCCGGCCGGCTGGGAGGGGGAGGCCGGGCTCCGGCCGGGCTCTGGACGCCGTGGGGATCCGCACACAAAGCCAGGCCCGGGGCGGGGCGGGGGAGGCGCCCACTCCCCTCCCCCGGGGGGGCGTCCCTCTCGGGGTGCGGGCCCCCCACCGCGGGCCCCAGGCCCCCGCGCTCGCCCGCGCGCGCGCGCAGCTGGCCGGGACGGCGCGGGGCGCCCGCAGCCGCGGCCCGGGACCCGCAGCGAGCGGGGCGCGGGGCCCTCGCGCTCCCCCCGGCCGACCGGCCGGCCCCCGGCTCTGATTACAGCGAGTCACCCTCCGCCCGCCGCAGGACGTCATCCGCCCGGGCAGGGAGACCCGCGCGGCCGCCGCTTCACGCTCCATTTGTCTCCATTCTCCCTTTAAAGTGCTCGTGTCATATTAATAGTCATGAATATCAATGATGATGAGGCGGTGTAGGCGAGTGCGGGGGGAAGGAGAGGGCGCCCAGGCAGAGTGAGCCCGGCTCCCGGCTCGGGGTGGAGGAGGAGGATCCCCGCGGGAAGCGGAGAAGAAAGAGGCCAGAGAGAGAGAGAGAGAGAGAGAGAGAGAGAGAGAGAGAGAGGGAGAGAGAGAGGAGAGCGAGAGGGAGAGCAGATGCCCGGCCCTGCCCGGGCGGCGGGCGCGGCCACTCTGGTTGGAGGGGGTCAGTTTTTAATTTTTCATGGTTTTCATGGCTGGTCCTGGCCGCAGCTCAGGCCGGGTTCGGGTGTCCAGCGCCAGACTCTTTGCTGGACTTGCTGATAGCTGCTGACTATAGCTATAGATGAGAGACAGACAGACAGACAGACATGGATTAGATAGATAGATAGATAGATAGATAGATAGATAGATAGATAGATAGATAGATAGATAGATAGATAGATAGATAGATAGATAGATAGATGTGTTTTTAAAGCTCGCTGTTTGATTTTGAGCAGTAACCAGGCTTTTCTTTCCAGATGTTAGTCCACACCTATTCATCCATGGTGAGTTCGGATTCCCGTTGGGCCAGCATTGCATGCTCTCTCTTCTCATCCTCTCTCTGTCTCTCTCTGTCTGTGTGTGTGTGTGCGCGCGCGTGCGTGTGTGAGTGTCTGTCTGTCTGTCTTCCTGGCAGCGCCTCTAGCTGGGTGGCTTAGCCGGGCACCCGGGGTCTGCGGAGGCCGCTCGGCCTTGCGCGCGGCGCGTCTCCGTCTCGGGCTCCACTCCGAGAGTCGGTGGAGGAGGGAACACGACCGGCCGGACTAGGGAAAGAAGCACAAAACTTGGCCGCTGCAGCGGGGACATTGTGATGATGCTTTCTGCAATCACACGCACACGCACACATGCACACACCGTGGGTTGTACCTGGGCATTTCCACAGAGGGAGAAAACTTCCAGCCCCCCCCCCCTTCCCCTTTGCTCTTTCCCCTGGATTTTGCACCCTGCTTAGACAGGACACCCCAAAAACGTGGTGTGGAGAGAGGCGAGGGGGAGGCTCGTCTCCTCCAACTGCAGATCTTGCATTTGCACCCCCCAAGGGCGATGCCCCCCCCCAAAAAAAGCCGGCTTTAGAAGCAGCGCCTGCACAGCACAGCTCCAGTCAGCCGGGCTGGGGCGCGGGCTGGGGCGCAGGCGGGTGCGGGCGCCTCCCCAGCCCTCTTTCCTGGAGACACGACTGAGTTTGTTTCTCTTCATTCCTTCTGGGGAGCCGGGTGAGGGGGGTGTGGAAACTGAGGCCGGGCAGGTTCCTGGAAGGTCCTGGAATCTCCAGATTGCGGGAGGAACGAAGTGGTCACCAGCCCCGCTCCCGCGTCAGCGCGGGCAGGACTCGGCCTTTTAATATCCATCCATATATATAAATAGAAATAAAAACGGGGGACCCGGGGCAGAGGCCGCGAAGTTTCTTTCCTTTGTGCTACTTTGGGGGTGTCTCTGAGAGATTTCGAGGACGGGGGAGCGCACGCCCCGCGTGGGGCCCGCACTTCTCTACATTTAGTAGCTCGGCCCCCCCACCCCCCACCTCACCCCACCCCAGCCCCCTGGGCCTGCTGTGCACCCCCAAAAGAAAGCCGCTCCGATTATTTCCCGCTTCTCCCCGAAGGCCCCCCTGGTTGGGAAGGGGACCCGGTTGGGAAGGGGACCCCGCCATCTCGGGGGGCACGGGGGGCTGCCCTTACCCTGTCCGGCCAAGGCCGTGCGGCCTGTCCATGTGTTGCCTCTCTCTCTCTCTCTCTCTCTCTCTCCCTCCCCTGCCCCCTCCTCCCCCAGGACCGGCACGATGGCGTGCCCAGCCACAGCTCCCGGCTCTCCCAGCTGGGCTCCGTGTCGCAGGGGCCGTACTCGAGCGCGCCGCCGCTGTCGCACACCCCGTCCTCGGACTTCCAGCCCCCCTACTTCCCGCCCCCCTACCAGCCGCTCCCCTACCACCAGAGCCAGGACCCCTACTCGCACGTCAACGACCCGTACGCGCTGAACCCGCTGCACCAGCCGCAACAGCACCCGTGGGGGCAGCGGCAGCGGCAGGACGTGGGCGCCGACGCGGGCGCGCTGCTGCCCCAGCCCCGCGCCGCGCTGCCGCAGCTGTCGGGCCTCGACCCGCGCCGGGACTACCACGCCGTGCGCCGGCCCGACGTGCTGCTGCACTCGGCGCACCACGGCCTGGACGCGGGCATGGGCGACAGCCTGTCCCTGCACGGCCTGGGCCACCCGGCCATGGAGGACGTCCAGGTAACCAGGGCGGGGAGGGGCCCGCGGGGGGGGGGGGAGGAGGGAGGGGGGTCGGGGTGCAGGCTGGGGGGCTCCCTGGCTGGGACAGGGAGATGGCTAGAGGTGGGAGCTTGGAAGAGCCGCTGGACATCCAAGTCTGACAAAGGAGGTGTGTGTGCATGCATGTGCATGCGTGTGCGTGTGTAGCTAAGGATCCCTGGGACCCAGGATGGTGTTACTCTCCTGTGGCTTGCTACCACACACGCACCAGAGCGGCCTACAGAGCTCTCCCAGGTAGCACCCCCAAGGTGCAAGGCCACTTCGAGGCTCAGGGCCTGCTGAGGACCGGCAGGCTCTGACACACGTGCCCACAACCACCACCACAAAAAGTTGCCCAGGGACAATCAGAAAGAGGCTGAGATCTGCTTCCTTAAACCAGATCTTGCTTCAACTGTCACCAGAACCACAGCCTTCTCCCCCCCCCCCCCCCACACACACACAGAGTCCAGGTTCTATTGGTGAGGGACACACCCCAGAAAGCCACACAGTTAGGTTGGGTTAGTCCCTGAGAACCGATGAACCATTATGGAGCTCCTTTGCTGAGTGTGGTTGGTTGGTTGGTTGGTATTTGTGGGAGTTTTGTCTTTCGGTCCATTCAGTGAGGGCGAAGCAAGGCTCTACATTTATCCTTCCCTCCTCCCCTCCTGCTATGAACACCGGCAGCCACCACCCCAGTGGAAGAGGTGTCACGTGCTTACTTCTTAAAACAAAAGGCCCCACAGGCCTCCGGGCCCACCTACTGCTCCATCTGCACCCTGCACACAGGGGCTGATTTGGGTGGAGAACGCTTGGAAACTAAACAAAGAAACATCAAAGAACTGATTTCCCCAAAACCTGGCCGTGGGACTCTGAGCAGAACTTCACTGCCCCCATCCCCCACGTCAGAGTCCCCAGAAAAGAGAAATATGGTTGGAAAAGTATTTAATCGCCGGCTTAGACCTCATTGGCAGAGTTGCAGATGTGACCCATCATTGTTTTAGACGTGCTTCTGAAGCAAAGGGAGAGGAAATGGAAGAGAAAGGGTGCACCACCTTCCTGGGTGGGGGTGGGGGGTGAAAAAAGTATTTCCCAACAGTTAAAATGTGGCCACATGAAATGCTGTCTGAGTGGTGTGCGAGAGCTGACGATTGTTTTAAAAAGAAACATTATCTATGTGTAGTGTGTGTGTGTGTGTGTGTGTGTGTGTGTGTGTGTGTGTGTGTGTGTGATCTGGTCTTGTGGCTGAATCTCCCTCCCGGTTGAAGTGATGATAGTCTTGTGTCCCTTTGGGAGCTGGTGTTCATTTGGGGTTAGCATATAAGGAAGGAAACATTTAACAGTTTCTTTTTAATGCACGGGATTGGGGGGGATATATGTCTTAGGGGAGAAAGTTTTGAAATGAACCTCTCTGAGTGCGGTTCGACGTGCTGGATAATGAAAGTGAATCCACACATCCTTCCGGCACCCAAGGCCTCCCACTGCCCTGCTGTCTGGAGGGTGGGGGCGGCTCAGAGAACTGAACCCACAAAAGGAAAAGCAAGTTTCTTTGATTTAGATTTTTTTTAAGGCAGAATTGTGATTGGTTTTTAGCTGTTCAGCCAAAGGTGTCGTGGGAGAAGGCCCTCGGGAATACTGTGGCTGAGTTACTCTAGGGAGGCTTAGGGACTGACCCACGAGGAGGTAGAGAGAGCCAACCGCGGCCTCCACACTGTTTCCGGCCTCCCGGTTCTCCCTTCAGCTTCTCCCGGCCTGGCCGGTGTCCCGGCGGGGCAGGGCAGCCTGCACACTGTCCCTTGAACAAGCTTCTGAGAGAGAATTGTAGAGATTCGATTGGTGCGGGGAAGACTGGTCTCCACCCTGCCAGCCGAGCCCCCGGGGCCCGGATGCAGGTGACAGGTCACCAGGAAGGCGGCTGGGTCAGGAATGGGATCCACCTCCTGAGAGATAGTGCCAGGGATCTGGAGAACCGAAGAGAAAGTTCCAGCAGCCCCCACGCCTCCGGGCCTTCTTCTCACCTCTCTAGCAAAGGGGCCGGCCTCTCCCCTCCAGCCTCCGGCCTCCGCAGGGACAGCAGAGGACGGGACAGTGGCTCAGTCTGGACCTTAAAGTCACTAGTCCCATGTCCAGACGCTCCCCCAACGCAGACTGGCTCCCCAGCGCCTCGGAGGTTGCTGCCCGGGACTCTGCGCTGAGGCTTGGGGGACCCCAGACACACACACACACACACACACACACACACACACACACAGGGCACCACCCCGAGAGAAACGAGGAGGAGGAGGAGGAGGAGGAGGAGGAGGAGGAGAGCTCATTAACCAAATGCTTCTAATATTTTTTTAAATGAAACTATAAAACCCTGTCAATTTCTATTTCAATTTACTCACAGGGGCTATTAAACTAGCAAATCGTTGTTTGGGTTCTTGGTATGCTACATTGCACTCGTGTGTGTGAGTGTGTGTGTGTGTGCGTTGGGGGTGGGTAGGTTAGGAGATAGTGTTTAAAACCCAGGGGGGAGAAATGGCTACAGAAAGGAAGAGGGAAGGGGGTGCCAACTCCTAGTTTGGGATTTGTTTAATTTCCTTCTAACTCTGCCACAACTTTGCTGTGTAACCCCCCCACCCCCGCCACCCGTGAGTGCAAACGTATAAAGATGTGAAGTTAACTCCTCTCTCTCCCTCTCTCTCCACACACACACACACACACACACACACACACACTCAAACACACCCCTGTGTCTTAAAGCAAGCCCTGGTATCACTTTTAACTAAAGAAGTCTAGTAATTACGAGTCTGAGTTGTTTTGCTGCGTTTCCGCATGCAGTCCTAATTAAATCTTTACGATCCTCGGTGTGCCGATTAAGCGCCAGCATGCGGCGTGAATACCCGGGACAAGGACCCAGCGGGGGCCGTAATTAGATCGAAAATCAGACAAGAGCCTTCTCATTAACTACCACAAGTACCCCACGTCGCTGCTGAGGCGTGTACGCACATCCAGGACCCACGTGAGGGCCGGCCCCGCACCACGGAGCTCCCCACCCACAGACGCGGGCCGAGGCGGTTCTCACGCAGCGCGAGTGCCCAGGGGGGCTGCGTGTGCGGGGAGGGGCCAGGGTCCGAGATCAGGTCCCTGCGGAGTCACAAACAAGGGATTGAAACAATAAAAAAATCCTAACCACTTTCCCCGGACCCTAAGGTGAGCAAGGGAGGAAAACAAGTTGAGAGAGAGAGAGGGAGAGAGAGAGAGAGAGAGAGAGAGAGGCTAACAGTTTGTCTCCTCATCTTCCCAAGAGAGGAAGACTCACTCTGAAAAAGGAAAAGAAACACACCACCAGGGTTCTCCAGGGCTTCGATCATCGCCTTTCCCCAGCTCTGCTTGTTTGGGGGTAGACAGGCTTTTTACTTGTGATAAACACACACCACCCTGTCTGAGGATGCGGCGTGTGTGGAAGTTCAGGGAGCGGTGGGAAGGTCCCCCTTGCCCGCCTCTTTATCTCTTTGCTCCCCTCTATCTGTCTCTGTCTCTCCCGCATTTTTTCTTCAGACCTTTTTAGACAAACTCGAGAGTTTCTGCACACCCCAGGTGGGAAGGAGCTGTTGTGCAGGGAAAGTTTGTGTTCTTTGCACTGGGTATGGGGAGGCGTAGGTGGAGTGGATCTGCTTTGGAATGCCCGGGGATGTACAGCCAGAACTCTGTTCACGCACACCCCACACCCCAACAACTCAGAAACACGCTTCGACAGCTTACTTCCCTCAGAAGTTGTGCCAATGCTTAGAGTTGAAACTTCCCTCTACAGGGCTGAAATGGTGGCAAGGAAGAGGAATGTTCCTTGTGATTACCTGGGGGCCGGCTGCAAGGGTCCAGCTGTGTGTGTGTGTGTGTGTGTGTGTGTGTGTGTGTGTGTGTGTGTGTGGTTACTGCCTTCCTCACAGGTGTGCCCTGGGTGGATCAGGGCACCTTCGGGGCTGGGACTGGGACACTGGATGGGGCAGGCTCTCGCAGGGACTGTCTGGGTACAGGAGAAAGCTCCCAGCTCCCAGGAAAGCGAGTGTGCTGCGGACGGCAGCAGGCTGGGAAGCTTGCATACCCGTTCCTGTGGACTCCTCTTTGCATTCCATTCCAAATTGCTCAGACTGTAATTAAAATCCCATAGTGTAAGCGATTATGTATTTGTAAAAATCGCTTTGGGGTTAAGCTGCACTGGGAGAGAACACAGACATCGGGCTCCACTGATACTGTGAAAAGCAGCTCTTGGCTGTGCCTCACAATGCATCGAAGCAAATGATTCAAAGATGGCTACGTCTGGGTCGTCACCGAGCTCCTTTTCCTTTGCCTTCCATTGGAAGAGTTTCCACATTGGGCAAATTCCCTTTCTCTGTCAGTCTGGAAGTCACAATGATAATAATCAAAATCTCCCTTTGTGGGTGAATATAAAGGGAAATAGCAGAGAGTCAGGTGGAGAGCACCATGATTTATGTGTGGGACTCTGTAATAATATCCAGTCGTTTTGAATGGTGGTGTTTTTATATTTACAGTCCGTTGAAGATGCCAATAGCAGCGGCATGAATCTATTGGACCAGTCTGTCATTAAAAAAGGTATGAGGTTTTGATTTTTGTTTTTTTTTTTCCTTCCCAAAGGAAGCAAAGTTTTCTTGTGCTTTAATGTTTTTGTGATGAGCTTTCACGTTAGGGGGATTCATTGGTTTATTATGATATACATGTTTGTTCTTGAGCAGCAGTGGCCGATATCACTAGGTAGGGAGGATGAAGAAGAGAATGGGATCTCAGTGGGGAAAATGCACGGAGAACCCCGGAAGAGAGAAATCGAGGGGCCTAGACTACTGCTCTCTCTTTCTCATAATACATGCAGTAGCCAAGCTACATGCATCTTACATAACTAAACAGTCATCATGTGTACCACCGGCCGGGAATGGTAGCTTCCAAAACGTGGTGCTGTCATTATTTCGTTGATAACTGGACTTTCCTGAACCAAACTCTTCTGTCATCCTGACTGCTTCATGTTATTTTTCTTTTCCATGCTTTTTGTTTATCCCCCCCCCCAGTGGTAATTTTCTCCCCAGTTCCCTGTGTTTTACGAGTTGCTTCTTTTTATTATTATTTTTAATTGTGCCAAATGTGTTGCTAAAGATGCACACCCTGAGAAGCCCAGACAAGCTATGTACATATCTAAATCTTCCTGCACATGCACCCGTGATTTAATATAACTGTGGAATCACCCCCATACTGTTAAACATCATGTGATATTAACAAATGTTTGCAGTCTCTTGTACAGCTGTAAGCAAAATAATTAACTAATTAAACTAATTAAATGTAATTACAATAACTCATTTCAGGCATATTGCAGCTGCTTAATTTTTTTCCCCCTCCTCTGACAGTCACTGAGAGGAAGCATGGAAATTAGTGTAACTGCAGAAAAAGGTCTGAGTGCCTTGCGCGTGCCCCATATTTAGGAGTCTGAATGTGTAAACAGTGCAATCTTTAATTATCGAAGGAACCGGTAGTTGAAAACACAAATCTAGCTACCGTAACCCCTCCTTTCTTATTGATGCCCGAGAAAGGCTGTCTTTATGTTTGGTGTGGGCAGTACACGCACTTATGATCCACCTGAGACACCTGACTTTCCTTGAGAGAGGAGATGATCTGGGAAGCAGGCTACTCAGGGCCAATTTGGAACAATAGAAGGGGTCTGCAGTGAAGACCGTGAGGTGTTCTACACGCTCTCCTCCCACAGAGGCAGGCAGAGGAGCGTGGAGAAGGTACCCAGGAAAGGCAATACTTGAACTGATGTGATCTAGCTTTGGAATGACTGTTCTGGAGGCTGGTGCAAAGTTCTGGGAGTGTGTGTGTGGATTTCCAGGGCTGCTCAAGCACCTCTCGTTCTTTAGAGAAGATCATTCCGTACCATTTCAGGCTTTCAGGGCAGTGTTTGTGTGCACTGGGGTACTGAGGCTGGGTGCCGCCATTCTCTTGGAGTCCTCTCTGCCGGCTAATTGCGAGCTGGTCGGGGCGGGGGTGAGGGAGGAGCTTGTCCGGGGCGCTTCGGGCGGTGGTTGTTGTTCCAAATCTACCACCCCCTCTTTCGCAGAAAGCTAGAACCACTTAGCTCTGGGTTCTGTATCCTAGCAACGTCCTCTGGGCTGGCACTAGCACGGGCCCAAACAGATGACCAATCAGAACTGTTATTAATAGTCAGGCCAATAAAAATATTTGGAACTTCGCTTGCCTAGCAAAATGGGGCTGAGAATATTCTTAGATGTAGGGCGCTTTGGTTGCCGGCCTGCATGTGTCAGCAATATGGGAGTGTGTATATACACGCGTATCTCCAGGAATAAGGAAAGGAGACTATTGACCGAAATTGCAGAGTCTAGATTTTTTTTTTTGGTTTGTTTATACATTTAAACAAAGTGGGGGATATTTTAAAAATATTCCACCAAGTGCCTTTTACTTTCTTCCTCTTTCCTTTCCTTCTCCTCCTCCTTTCTCTTCTTTCCCCTCCTCATTATTTTCCTTTCTCCTCCTCTCCTCCTCCTCTTCTTCCTTTTTCTCTCCTCCTCCTCTTCCTCTCCTCCTCCACCTCCTCCTCCTCCTCCTCCTCCTCCTCCTCTTCTTCTTCTTCCTCTCCTCTTCTTTCTCCTCCTCCTCCTCTTCCTCCTCCTCCTCCTCTTCCTCCTCCCCTTCTTCCTCACTTCCCTTTTCTTCATCTCCTTTGTCCTTCCCTCCCTCCCTCCCTCCCTCTCTCTTTTTTTTCCTTGCTTCCTTGCTTCCTTCTTCCTTCTTCCTCCTGCTTCCAGCTTAAAAAGTCTACACCGCATCCTGAGCACCTTAACTGATTGAGGTGGAGAGATGGTGAGCACGAGTGTCAGTTCCATTCTTTGATACTTGGGATGTTTTTTAGTTTATTACATGAAGAAAGGTTCCTGATATCCTATTTATATCTTTAAAGAGCCGCAGGCAAACTAAGAAGTGCTCGGTTTAGCACCACTGGTTAAAGGCCCTGCGTGCCCTCTGCCCTTCCTCGCCAGGGAGGATTCAACGGGTCCATTCTGTCCAGGGGGAGAACGTTTTCCGAACTGAGTATTCTGATTTTCAACAAGTAGCCAGGGTCTGAGTGGCATCGTCTGTTTTCTAACGGGCATGGACACAGAGTTTTCTGGAAGTGGCACCTTGTTGGCGAGGCAGCGGCGGTGCAGCGTGGCCGTTCCTGGCGTCTGGGCGGCTCGGGGATCCGTTTCTCCCCGTCCCTCGCTCTAATGAGGGCCGGGCCCTCCTCGCACGTCACCAGCCTCATTTTTCAGCTGTTGTTTTGGTATCACCCCGGCGCTGATCGGCTCCCTCTCTCGTGATGTTTGCTATCTGGGCTTAGCTGACATTTCTGAAGTAATTTAGTTAAGAGGAAATGAGTTGTTCCCAGTAGAGTGGAGGGAGGTAGCCGGCCTGATAAATGGCTCTTTCATTTGAAGATCTCCAGAGCTCGTTTACGGCTAATTTTCTGTATTGGCCCCCTTTGAGCTATTAATGCAATCGGCAGGGACCGCGGCCCTCTCCTCGTGGCGGCCCCATTAGAGCTCCCATTAAGCCTCCGAGTCTCGAGTCGGTGGCAGGGGTAGCCGGGGAGGGGGTAATGAAAGGTGCTTTTTAAGCTCTCCTAATCTAAACCGGCAGAGGGTGGTTAATACGATTTGGAGGGGGCTGGTCAATGAGCAATCAATAAAGTAATAATGAGAAGGATTCGGTACATTAACAGTCTAAAAATCCAACGAGACATTAAAAAATCATTCTTAACCCTCAGTTCCATTAAGATTAGGAATGTGGGCGGGGCATGGGGGAGGTGCCATGCTAACAGAAACGACCGTGGCTACTGTCCTACACCCTAAAACACGGCTTACCTGGGCTTTCGGAAGGTTTGGGGGGGAGGGCCAATCAGGGGCCAGGATGCCATCTGTTGGACACCTTAGACAGCAAAAAAATGTGCTGGAGTTTCTTGGAAAGGCAGTGAGGCTGGAGTCCAAGTTCACAGGTGTGGCTGTGGGGTTTTTCCTGATCTTGGGGATGCCCTGTTTGGTTAGTTTCACTTCAGTCTCTGCTCTCTTCTACATTTGTTTTTGCTTCTTCCATAAATGCTGGCCTCTTCACCCCCACCCCTGCCCCGCACATTTCGATGAGGATTTTCTTCAGCAGGAGGGACAAGGCAACTGCCCAAATCTTAATTCCACTGGGTCTGTGGGAGATGGTCTCTTCTTGCCTAGAAGAGGAGGTACACAGAGTCTGTCAGTGCCCCCTAAAAGCTTCGAGAGCAGCTTCCATGTCTGAGGCTGGCTTGGAGCTCAACACCTCTCCCAGCCACAGAGCCTGAGATAGACTGGGGCCACCCAGGGAACAGCTGCAGTTCAGAGCGGTTTAACCCAGACACGAGCTCTGAGCACGTGGAGGCCGAGCAGACGTGAGTGACTTTCTCCAGGTCTCCTCAGGCGAGGCACAGATGAGAGCTAATGCCGTGCTCCACCTCGCAGACCCAGATCCTCTAGGAGGCAGGGGTGAAGAGTGGTCTGAGGTATTACCTTGCTGCTGCTCCCTTCTTAGAGCACCTGAACCCTGGAGTCTATGGGGGAAGATTTCTCTCCCCGCCCCCATCTTCCCATCCACAGGAGCTCATCAGACACACAGTTCTCAAAGCTACGCTTTCACACGGAAGTTTGCGCTAAATTAGAGATGACCAGCTAGACTATTAACACGTTAGCTCTGTTTAGTCAACAAATAAGGAAAGGAGATTTTTCTCGTAAGTGTTTTCCCTTCCTTCCTGCCAGCTCCAAGTCACCCTCACAAGCCAGCGATCCGTCGTTAAACCATTTCCATCCTCACCGTTTCATTCAAGGAAAGGGATGAGAAAGGTTTGGGGAGGCGGCACCCAGAGGTTGCATTTGCCACCCAATGGAGAATGGAAGGGGGGAAGACTACTTCTAATGTATGCGCAGAAAATTGTAAACACGTAAAGAACCAATAGGTTCACGCTGAGTTCTGCCACGCTCCGTCTCCTCACTATTTCCTGCTGTTGCTTTAAACCTATCTTAGTCATCTCCGCATTGCCTGAGCTGGAGCGGTGAGCTCGTAATTACTAACAAATCAACCGGGCCCTGGTGCTGGGTGCATTTATTGATAAGCTGGAGGAAAGCAGAAGGGGGAAGACAAAGAGAATAAAACACGAGGTTAATCAGCTGAGTAAGGCAGGTGTCGGGGTGGAAGGGGCACACGTAGAAGCTTTGGGCCAAAAGGGAAACTGGGGTGAGGAATCTGCAGGACACAGTCGAAGGGACCAGCGCTAGGCCCCGGGGTGGACAGAGGGTTGGTTAGAGGAACCAGATTGTGGCACTTCCATCAGAAGAAGCAGGTATAATCTGACACCCCTCTGCTTGCATTCAAGATGGTTGGGGGAGGGGAATCGCTCCGTGGTGGGGGAGGGGCTGGCACTAGAAGGAGGGCATTGAGGTGATAATGAAGGTGTGCAGAAGTAACACCCCGGGGAGACAGAGATACACATCCTCAGAGAAAACAGCCCTTGTCAGGCAAATCAGGCAATTAACGACTGTACCGTGTGTGGGCAGGTTATAAAGTGTTTCCCAAAGTCCCAACTCCCCCCACCCCACGCTGGTAAAATTCCAATGTGTAAAGGGGCAGAAAGCTGAGGCCAGACGTGGTGTTTTCCACTTAGTGAGTAGGGCTCTTTGTTAACGTAGTATTCTGAAAGTGTTACTGAGTGGCAAAAAATGAGGGTTTCATAGAATTTATTTCTACAGTATACATCATATTAAAACTGCAAAGAGTCATCAATAGTTATGGGGGAGTAGTTTACTAAATGGTAACTTCTGGAACCATTTGGATGGAGTGCCTCGAATGGGAGTCTGAAGTGTCTTGAGAACGGCACGGGAAATCAGGTAGATTAGATTAGATGCGCGTGCTGTGGCCACAGCAAAATGATGGAGGGTTTGTTTCCTCTAGCTCTATCACCCACTTACTTAGTGACTTTAAACTCCAGATGTTATAGAAATCGGGTTACTCTACTGACTTGCTGCATAAGTCTGGTTGCTATACTGACTTCTCGCATGGTAAGCAAGCAACTTCCCTGCTAAGAAGATGAGGACCCAAGAAGAAAGGGGACCCCCTCCCCCCAGTCCTTCCCTCTGCCATAGCACAGGGGATCTTCTGAGACCACTCCTCAATTTTGGAGAAACCCAATACATTTACCAAGCAGCAGTCTCAGAAGGAACTGCTTCCTTGTCTTCATTCCCTGTGGCTGGCGAAGCTTTATGTTCACTTTATATAAAGTGTTTACGAAAAGCAAAATGAAAAGTCGTAGTAAATAAAAGATTTGGGGCTCGGTCTGGCTTTTACAAGTCTCCAGCCAATCATAGACGTCCGGCTGCTGTGATCTATGTGTGGGAGAAGGTCGGTGAGGAGCATCCTGTGAGTTCATCCCCTCCACCTAGGGAGGTGGTACGTCTTATTTCACATCTAGGATTCTAGACTCCAGATGCTAGGAAGAGCTAGGAGAGTACATCTTTTCTCCTGTCAGGAATATAAGGGGGGAGAGAGTCTTTATCAGCAAGATAGGAATAGGGACCCCCCCTCAAACGTGTACACACACACACAGCAGATGGCTGGCATCTCAGTGTAGGCAAATCAGAAGTCACCTGCACGTGTATCTTCTCTGCTTTGGAGCGAGAAAAATGGGCTGGGGCGGTGTCCGATTCCACGGGGCCAGACTTCAGGGTTTGGGGGTGGGGGCTGACTGCTCCCCGTTCCCAGCCTCTCTCCTGACGTGCAGATGACACGGAAACACAATTAGACCCGAGCCCGGGCGGGGCCTGGCCAGGCCGGCGCGCAGGGCAGCCGTGGTCACCGGCTGTCAGCTCCGATTAACTTCTGCAGGAAGCATACCTGGGCTGCGTTTGTTATCAGTTCTGTGCCGAAAGGAGAGACGGGGGCGAGGCCAGGCCGCGGCTGGCGCGGGCCGAGGGGAGGGCGGAGGATGGGGGGCAGCGGTGTAAATCACCACCCCGCCGGCCCGGGGGCTCTGTCGCTGGCCGGTGGCCTTTCCCCCGGGTGGGCGTCGCCCCCAGCCTGCAGATGGGGGGTAGGGGAGGAGGAAGGGACCCCACTGGAAAGCTGCGTGTGGCGCTCACCCCACCTCCTCTGCGCAGGTGGCCTGCCCGGTCTTGGGTACAGGGGTCCCGGGGACCGTCCTAGATCTGAATCCAGAGAGAGAGAGGGAGGGAGAGGAGGGGACGGTGGTCAAGGCCCTGGGGGGACCCTGTCCTCAGCCAGCCCCTGGTGACTCCCCGGGCATGCGGGCTGTCCCCTCTCCAGAGGACGCACGGGGGGGGGGGCCTGGCTTCTAGGGTCCCGTCAGTGGCCTAGGGGGGCCGGGCCGGGCCGCGCATCCAGGGGTGGGCAGCCCACCCCCACCCCGCCCCCGGCAGGGGCTCCACGGCCCCCGGGCCTCCCCGCCGGGGTCCCCACGCGCGCGTCCTGCCGGCCAGGTCGCCAGGATGGAAACCCGGTCACCTTGATGGAATGTGTCTGTCTGTCTGTCTGTCTCCCTCTCTCTAGTTCCGGTTCCTCCCAAGTCCGTGACCTCGCTGATGATGAATAAAGATGGCTTTCTGGGCGGCATGTCGGTCAACACGGGCGAGGTGTTCTGCTCGGTGCCCGGCCGCCTGTCCCTGCTCAGCTCCACCTCCAAGTACAAGGTGACGGTCGGGGAGGTCCAGCGCCGGCTCTCGCCCCCCGAGTGCCTCAACGCTTCTCTCCTGGGCGGCGTCCTGCGGAGGTACGGGAGCCCCCAAACCACTTCCCACGACCGCGCCGAGTAGGGTTCGCAGGCTCGCTGGGAACGGAGGGGGGAGCCCCACGCGGTTGCCTAGCAACCGGAGACCCAGCGCAGCCCGGGCTCGGTGCGCGGCCGCGGGCCACGTGCTGGCCGAGCCCCTGCGCGCGCCCGGGGCGCACGCGCGCAGCCTCGCTCGCCCCCGCGGGCTCGGCCCTACCCCCTGCTCCTAAGCACCTCGGGGTGCTGCTCTGCACCCCCAGAGCATCCCGGAACCGTCCTCCTCCACTCGTGTAATCCGACTCGGTTCTCCTCCATGGCGTGCTTGAAAATGCCGCTGGAGACGCTGGCCTGGATCTCACCACCGCTGCGCGGCGTCGTGCGCGGTGGCCCTCCATTAAGCACGACCGAGTCCCTTCGGGATCACTCCCACCGCGGACAGACAGACAGACACAGGGCACTTCACAGCGTCCACTGTCGGCACTCGGGTCCCTGGGTCCCAGGGGTCCCCAGGTCCCAGGGGAGAGGTGGCCTGTGACCTCCCAGGTCAAGTCCCTGCTAAATTCTTTGGGACACTGTGGCTTATGAAGAGACGTTAGGACAAGAGTTGGTAAATGAATCCACGTTCAGAGCCCAGGCGAATAGCACAGAGGGAGAGGGAGAGAGAGAATGAATGAATGAATGAATGCAGGGGTGGCTTTTCCCGCCTATGTCTGTCCAGACTTCAGCAGGTGCAGGGAAAAGCTGGGGTGTGGCCCAGAAACTTTCTTAGTTGGAACCCTCTCCTTCTCCTTCCGGGTGGGTATTGGAGTGAGTCCTCTGAGCACTGGAGCCGGGAGGTCTCCAGCTCCGCCTTGGTGCCTGGGTGCAGACAACTTGTTCAGAGTTGGAGAACCTCAGTACTTTAAGGTCCCCCTGCAACCCCACCCAAGCGTTAACCTCGCTGTTGGGAGGCTGGTGGTGAACCCCCAGTCCAGTCTTCTCTCCCCTCCTAAAACTCTTACTCTGGACTTCCACCTGGGTGTGTCTTTCTGTTTCTTCAGCGCCGAGGTCCCAGTTCCTCCTTTGTTTTGTTTAAGGGCTCTGGATGTTTGTGTCTGTGCGGACACTCTGCATCCTAATGACTCTCATCTGGGATCCATTCCCTGCCCCCCCCCTCAAAGATTTTTTTTTAAAGAATTTTTTATGCTCTGTATTGCAGAAATTGAGCAAACCTCAGCAAACTATCAGCCAATATCCGAAAGGGGGAAAAAGGGGGTGGGTGGCGGGGAGTGCCAACCTCCAGTTCAAACGTCTTCAGGCTAGGCTGGGCTTGGGATCGCTAAGTCTAAACTTCGTTTCAGGAGCACACTGAGGTTAATCAGAATGTTAATTCTTGCCATTTCAGAGCCAAATCGAAAAATGGGGGGAGATCTTTGCGCGAGAGGCTAGAAAAGATCGGTTTGAACTTACCTGCGGGCAGACGCAAAGCTGCGAACGTCACGTTGCTCACCTCCTTGGTGGAAGGTAAGCAAGAACACGAGGCCGCCTGGACAGCGGCTCCAGGGGCTAGCCTCCCTGTCGGCTGGAGGCTGACATTTTACACGGTTCATGATTAAGGGGAAATCATTGCAATGGTCGGGCCTCTATGAGTTGGATGTCAAGCGGCCGCTGGGGAGAAGTTCAAAGATCCTTTGACTTAGCAGGAGCCAGCAGTTATAGAATGGCCAAGGGACTCTGTCAAGCTTTCCTGTGTCCTCAAGTGTGATCAGTGCCAGCTAGGGGGGGTTCACCTCAGCTCTCTACAGCCTGGCAAGCCCCTTCTTAGGCATTCTTGCAATAGAAATTCCTCAAGCAGAAATCCATACCTGTTTTCACTGCTAGAAAACACACTGCAGGCAGGAGCCAGGCTGCTGGTTCTGAAAGCCGTGGGCCCTGTCTGCTGCAGCCTGCCTGGCAGTTGGGAAAGATGCCAGCCTCAGGGAAGGCCGGGCTGCCTGGGGGAAAACTGGCAAAGGCGTGATGGGAAAATATGGATGGGAAAGTGTCAAGTTAGGTCTTCAGTCGAAATGTCACCAGTTGTGAAGGAAATAGCCGTAGTAGTAGTTGTTTTGTTTGGGCCGGTATTGGGTCTTGAATACAGGACCTCGAGCTCTGGGTTGGCTTTTTCTGCTCAAGGCTGGCACCCTACCATTTGAGCCACACTTCCACTTCCGGCTTCTTAATTGGAGATAAGAATCTCACTGCCTTTCTGGCAGGCTGGTTTTGAATCTCACATCTCAGCCTCCTGAGCAGCTAAGGTGACAGGTGTGAGCCACTAGCGCCTAGCCATGATTGTAATAAGCAGCCTGGAATTTGCTCATCAGATTGGATTTGTGGGTGATCTTCTGGTATGTAATAAAGAAGCTCATCTGCATAATCTAGAACAAGCATATCTAGAGTTCAGTTTGCCGGGAGTGGAAGCAGGCGGGAAACCCAGCCAGATGGCACTCACCGAGGAAGGCAGAGTTTTCTCTAGACTCTGGCTTGTTGGTCTTGGCTCTTTCTGCCATTTTTTTTCACGGAGGAGTTGGCTTTTGGAGGAGGGCATCTTAAAACCTTGAAACAGGGCTGGGAAGGTGGCTCAGTGGTAGAGCGCTTGCCTTGTAAGCCTAGAGGCCCTGGGTTCGATTCCTCAGCACCACATAAGCAAAAAGAAAAAAGCCGGAAGTGGCGCTGTGGCTCAAGTGGTAGAGCGCTAGCCTTGAGCTGAAGAGCTGAGGGACAACGCCCAGGCCCAGAGTTCAGGCCCCACAACCGGACCCAAAAAAAAAAAAAAAAAACCTTGAAACAGCAACCACCGGAGCATCGTCTTTACCAGCCTTACGTTTTGCCATCTTTTGGGCACATTTGTTTGCCTTATACTTGCCCTCCAACATTTTCAACTACCCTTTATCGGCAGCTGACTTTGAGCCCTTGGAAGGGGGGTAGGTTGTGCTCATATCACAATCCTCATTTTGAAAAATAGTCAAAGGTAATCTTAGCCCAGAGAGCAGGATTTGGGCTGGAGAAGGGAAGAAACTGGAAATCCCACTGAAATTCCAATCTTTCAGTTGGCAGTTTGGGGTTTTATAGATCCTTGTAAGCATCATGCCTGGAGTCTTTGTTATTATGATAATGATGATTAAAAGTAAGTCACGCTCCTTAAAAGTAATGTAGCTATGGGATAATTCAACATGCTTCCTTTTCATGTTTGTGATCCTTCCCCAAACCCCCTAAGGCTGTGCTTTAAAGGCTAATAATCTTTATTCAAAAGGGGCTTCCTCATAAGCTCTGAAATACCTTAGATGCCCGGGTTTTCTGTAGCTGCATCTTTGAGCAGTGGAAAATCTTGAAAGGATCGTTGGTGACAGAAATGCACCAAGGAGAGAAACCTGAACACTACCTGGTGGAAAGTTGGGAAGGAGAATCACTGTTGCACTGCTCAACAGAAAAGAACAATCTTTCCATAGACTTCTTACATATATTCCTCAATATCTGTGGACATTCACCAGTGTAGATTATGCTAGTACGTATTAGTTATTAATAAAGGCCATTTTTCCTAATACATCTACAGGAAGGTGGTAGTGATGTTGAAATTTTATTTAATACAGGTGTAACTGAATCTTTATAAAGAAATGGGAGGTGTCGGGGGAGGAATCTGGCTGGCCTATCTAGCCAAATGTCTAGATTCAGTGAAAAGGTAGCTCTTGAATTGATCAGTCCAACTCCCCATTTAGACAACACATGAAAATGTTGTGGCCATTCAAAGAGATGCCTAGCTAGGACCTGGCTCAGGGGGAGGCCGGGAACAAAGATTAGCTTTGACCCCTTGTGGCTGTTGGGCATCTGTCCTACATTTCTCTTGCACTAACACCTGGCCTCCTGTGGAAATCTGAACAGAGCTCACAAGTGTGTGACTCCAGCCCTCAGACGTTTTGGGACAGGGCGACGATTCTCTCCCACTGTCTTTGCAGGCGAAGCTGTTCACTTAGCTCGGGATTTTGGGTATATCTGTGAAACAGAGTTTCCTGCCAAAGCCGTCTCTGAGTATTTGAACCGGCAGCACACAGACCCCAGCGACCTGCACTCTAGAAAGAACATGCTGTTGGCCACCAAGTGAGTGTTCTAGAGCCTTCCTTCCCAGCTCCTACCCTGCTGGTCCACCGGCTTGGGAAGCAAGGTTGATGTTCTCTTCTGGGACAGGAAAGTGCCAAGGGCTTCCAGGCTGGGGTGCCACCTCCTCTTCCCTCGGGTTGGGGAGGGTTGAGGGGCTGGGGGTGAGTCTCCAAGTCTGGCGTTTATTAATCCAAATGCAGGTGGTCCCCATTCTCTTCCATAACACTAGGCATACCAGGCAGACCTTCCCCCAATGGCTCCTTTGCCCCCCAGCTCATCCCAGGACCCCTGATGCCTATTTTTGCCTTGATTTCCCATCTACTCCCTGCCAGAGCCGTGCGTGCCGCCCAGGGTGTCTGTATGTCACCCACGAGGGCCCATCTCTACCCACAGCTCTGATTACTCCAATTGTGATGGTGGTGTTTGTCATCTTCCGTGGACTTGTAAAATTTACTACAACTCCAGAGGGAAAAATAGTAAATCTCTGGCTAAATTTAGGTCTCGAGCTCATTTGAACTTTTACAGTGGGTTTTCTATTTATTTGATTTACTCCTGTCTTTGGGTTCCGTGTCATATTGTTGGGTGTTTTATAGCAGGCTCAGGCCTGAAGTGGGCGGTGCTCAGAGCATGCGCCTGCCTGCCTGCACTCCCTCCCGATCTCTCTCTCTTTCTTTCTCTCTCTGTCTTTCTCTCTCTCTCTCTCTCTCTCTCTCTCTCTGTCTTTCTCTCTCTCTCTCTCTCTCTCTCTCTTCCTCCCTCCCCCTCCCTCCCTCCCTCCCTCCCGGGCCGGCTGGGCTGGCCTAACCAGCAGCTCTCATTTATTTAGTGCTTCAGGACGCGGTTTGTTCCGTTGACAGCGTAATTTAAAGAAATATATGGAAGGCTGAAAAATCATTTGCTCAAATTTGTCCAGATGTTTTTGAGACGTGATTGGAATTTGATTGCCCCTTTCCACAGGGTCAAAAAATATTAATGTCCCAGAACTTTAATTGCTTACAGACCCTGGGTGAAGCTTTGAAGATTTAAAATGTTTAACTCTTAAACATTTGTTCTCTCCTCTTTTTTTTTTTTTTTTTGGCACTTGGGTAATGAGTACAAACTTACGGAAAGACTTTAACCATCTCCCCGCAGTGATCAAACCCTGGCACGTACCGCTTCCCCTCCTAATGTAACAGCTAGCATGGGACAGATCTTTGTCCCCTCCTAATGTAACAGCTAGCATGGGACAGATCTTTGTCCCCTCCTAATGTAACAGCTAGCATGGGACAGATCTTTGTCCCCTCCTAATGTAACAGCTAGCATGGGACAGATCTTTGTCCGGGGGTTGTCTACTGCTCCTTTCTCCCTCTCTGGTGCCAGTAGAACCTGTTGTGCCTTGTGGGAAAAACAGACACACAGAAGCAGGATGTGCGCCAGATAACAGGTTCTCACAAAGCCTCTGTACTTCCTTCAGGGCAGTGTGTCTGCCCTTTTGGAGCTTTGTGGCCTTTTAAATTATTATTATTTTTGCCAGTACTTTGTAACCTGGAGTGAAAATCAGAATTACCTAGGGAACTTTCCCAAGAAATGTATACCTGGACTTCTCCCCCAAAGCCTTTGACTGGAAAGGTTAGGAGGATATTAAGTGGGAGAGTTTGTTGTTGTTGTTGTTTGTATTGTTTTGTCCCTCTAGTAATTCTGTCATCTCAGCTGCTCAGGAGGCTGAGATCTGGGGGATCATGGTTCAAAGCCAGCCTGGGCAGGGAAAGTCCATGAGACTTTCCCTCCAATTAACCACCAAAAAGTAGAGCTGTGCCTCCAGTGGTAGAGCATTAACACTGAGAAAACAAAACAAAACAACCAAAAAACAAGGATAGTGCAGCTCTCTCTCTCTCTCTCTTTAGCTTTCACACACACACACACACACTCACACACACTTTACCTTTGGTAGTTGGAAACAGTTCCTTGTTTCCTCCCTAGATGGGAAGACATCTGGGCCTGTTGGGAATGAAAAGGCAGAGTTTGAATACAGAGCCTGTCAGTATGTTGTATCTGCTATCTACATCTGCTATCTACAAGGCCATCCTTCAGCTGAGGGGATGGAGGGTGTAGGTTGACCTCTGGCCTGTTCCTAAAGTGGCAGAACTCTGGGGAAGGAGGTCCCAGGATCCTTCAACACCAAAACCTGGGCCTGATCACCACTGGGCACTGTCAATCAGCTCCCAGGCTCTGCCCTAGGGACCAGGACAAAGATCCTAACAGTTTTGCTTCTCTTAAGACCCCAGGAACCAGAAGCTGGGTGGGGGCAGGTGACCGGGAGCAGTTCTGCTGGCCGGTGCACGGCTGGCCGGCAGAGCTGGACATTTTACCTTCAGGCCTACATCCCTCCTGCCCACCTCGATATTAGACATTTCTTCAAGAAGCTCAATCCATAGTTAGTGCACAGGACTCCTTACGCTGGGAAATGTCTGAAATTGTAGGTGCCTAGAGGAATTGAAAAACCACCACCAACAACAACAACAAAATCTTTCCTCCCTAGTGTCTTCACAGTCTGCCTTTAAGTCTGATTTCAAGTTTGTGGAAATCTGCTCTATTGGCAACAATCCTGTTATGCAGTGATTTTTTTTGGAGTAGTTCACACTTGTAAAAATTGAGAAAGAAAGAGAGAGAGAGATTTTTCTTTTTGAAAAGAAGGTAGAAAATACCTCAGTCCCCAAACACTGCAGGTACACAGGTTTCTGCTTTCTGAACAGAATCAGCATTCTGTCTCCGAATAAACAGCTTCTTGCCCCGGGGCCATGCGCCAAGGCTCTAGCAATCTGTTTGTGGGAGAGGGACAGTCTTGTGGCTGTGGGTCCTGAATCTTCCAGGGCTGGGGCTCGGTGTGTGTGTGTGTGTGTGTGTGTGTGTGTGTGTGTGTGTGTGTGTGTGTGTGTGTGTTTCTAAGAGGCAGGTTGGAGAAGCAGGAGAAAGATGGGGAACACGATTTCTTTGTTTATTATTTATTTATTTGGGGGGAAAGAATGCCAGGTAAGAGATAAAAAACGGGATGGTTCACAGCACAACACGCATAGGGTGTCTGCCACGCAGAGGTGCAGAGAGGCAGGCTGGGGGGGGGGATGGGGGATGGAACCTCGCTCCTTCCCCAGCTGCTGGGGTCAGGGTGGGGGTGGGGCCCCCGGAGGAGCTGGGGGAAGGAAAGAAGGAAACAGAGCGGAAGGGCTGCATTAGCCGCGCTCTGGGTGACCCCAGGGCCCCCGTGGTGAAGTCTCTTCTCCATCCCCCCTCCTCCCCCCTTGCAGGCAGCTTTGCAAAGAGTTCACCGACCTGCTGGCGCAGGACCGCACCCCAATCGGGAACAGCCGGCCCAGCCCCATCCTGGAACCCGGGATCCAGAGCTGTCTCACGCACTTCAGCCTCATCACGCACGGCTTCGGCGCCCCGGCCATTTGCGCAGCCCTGACAGCCCTGCAGAACTATCTCACCGAAGCCCTCAAAGGCTTGGACAAGATGTTCTTGAACACCACCTCCACTAACAGGCACACGTCTGGGGAAGGCCCAGGTAGTAAAACTGGCGACAAGGAGGAAAAACACAGGAAATGAAAAAACAAATAATAATTTAAAAAAAAGAAGGAAAAAAATGTTTTAAATACAAAAGGAGAACAGAACAAAAATTAATTTTAGCTTTAAAACAATATTGGATTGGCTTTGGAAGAATTTCAGTAGGTAGACGACACATACAATCATGGAGGAAAAAAAAAAACACAAAACCAAGTTTAACGAGACGAGAAAGCTAAATAACTTACAGACCGAGGCTTGACCACAGCGTCGATGTCGCCTCTCAATGCCAATGTCAAGATGCCCTTGAGGACTGCCCTCCGGACCTTCTACAAATCCGTTCTTTCCAGCCTAGTCATACCGATAATAAAAGACACTACGGTGTCCCCCTTACCCTTTTTGGAAAATAAACCTAAGACTAAACGTGAAACGACGCTAACTTATTGGAAGAACAGCGGAGACGCGTTGGTGGCAAGACCTTTGAGAGCGGGTTCACTGGGATGCACGAACTTTTTAATTCTTAGGTTTTGGGGTTTGGTTTGGTTTTTCAAAGGCAATCCTTGAAGCTCCCCCTCCATCCCACCTGATCCTTCTCCCCGCCAGCCTTTTTTTCCACACGGCCTTCCTTTCCCTCATGCGGTGGTGGGGAGCCCGTGGGGGTGCAAAGGAGTGTGATCAGCCCCTTTGGGTGGCTTTAGCCCCCTCCCCCAGCAGCCCCTCCCTCCCACTCCAGGCCCAGAGGGTCCCAGGTCACCCACCTTGCAATTCCTGGGCCCTGGGTGCCTAATTAGGGAGGGCCGGAAATGGGTGGAGTAGGGGAGGGCGTGTAGGAGCTCATCCTCCACTTGTTTATGGTTCCCGCCTGCAGAACGGCAGAGGAAATTCAAGGCAAATAACTTGGTTCAGATCCCTCCTAAATTCCTCTCACAAAGGTGATGCGTTCCCGGCACCTGCAGCAAGTTTCGCCTTTGTCCTAACATTTGTGTCATCTACCAAGTTTAAGAAGTAGAGTAAACACACACACACACACACACACACACACACACACACACACACAAATCCCACCACCACGAATACATTGGTTAGTATGTAATTCCTTCCAGGGGTATGTACCGTTTCATTCTCTTCTGTTTCCCAAAGCGTTGCCCGCATGGTTTATGAGCTTGTTCAAAGAAGACTCGAGCTTCCTACACAATCTATAAGGTACTGACACACACACACACACACACAATCTGATTTGTGGTTTTTATTTTACTTTATTTTAATCAAAGCCAGTGTGCCAGGATTCTGCAGGCTCTCTTCTTTAAAGAAGCTCAAAGGGAATCATTGAGAAAGTGGCCAGACGGGGGCTAGCGGCTTTGAATCAACTTGGTTAACCAAGCCCCTCGGGGAAGGGGTGGAGAGGAAAAAGCAACTTTCAGAGGAAGCAAAAGGAAGGGCTGTAGGAGTGCAGGACTGTCGTAGCTTAGATTCTCTGACCCTGGGCTCTTGTGTGTGTGTGTGGGGAAGTCTATGGTTTTAATGGGAAAAGCACTATTATTATTATCATTTTGCCGATGGGAATGCAGGAGAAGGTGGCACGGGCAGGTGTCTGTGCAGCCGTTGCTGCCTGCAAGATATTTTATGAATGAGACCCCCCCACACCCTGTGATGGTCTAAAATGGTTAGCTAATGCAAAACAAACGGGCATGCATTTGGGCTTTGAATCTCAGCTACCCTGGGAATCTTTCCAGGGGATTCCTTTCACGCACTTAATATTGCTCACGTCTGTGGAGCCCAGCTTCTTCCTCAGGCCCCAATCTGAGCCTTCTGTCGAAATAAAAACCTGGACTTGGTGGGATAGGACTCTTGCATCCAGTGCAGACACTAGCATCTGTGTGAAGTGGTGCAAGCAGGCCCTGGGCTAGGGTCAGGGCGAGGGTCCGCCTGGACAGGAGTCGAGATGTTCTGCTGGGCGAGGTGTTAGTAAAGTGAGGAGAGCTTTCCTGGAACATTTGGGTGGCAGGAAGGTGGTTTTGGGGTCCCCAGCTCCGTTCCTCTTCTGGGGCCCACACCACCAAGCCCGCCCCTCCCCCCACGTTCTGGAAAGTGTGGCCCTCACTCAGCCACCCTCCCCTCCCCACCTCTGAGGCTTGGGATGTGTTCTGCTTGCTGGAGGCCGGGGGAACCGCACTGAACCCAACGTCTCCTTTCCTTGCAGGGCAGCGCGCCCCACGCGTGTGACCTGCGAGGAGGAGGCGGTGGACTGGGCTTGCGCCCCGGCTCTCCCGGGCAGCGGCTGCAGGCTCGCCCGCAGCGCTCGGCCCTTCTCACGGGGCCTCAACCCCCAAGGGCTTAGGCGGCCGAGAACACCCAGCTCTCCTCTAGGTAAAAGGGCAGAGCCCCCCCGGGCTGCAGGTGGGAGGGGTCCCCCCACAGCACAGGCCTTTGGCCACCAGTAGCTACCCAACAGAGAGGAACAGAGAGAGAGAGAGAGAGAGAGAGAGGAAGAGAGAGAGAAGGACAGACGATAGACAGGTTTGGCCCCATGACCACAGCTTCTGCAGTTGCATTGTCCCGGTACATTTTCCAGGGACTCTTAGGGCTGGACCGGGTGCCCTGGGGCACCCTGTGTCCCCCCCCCCGCCCCCCTCCTGGGGAGCCACCTCCCCTCCCTCCTCTTCACCTCTTTCCCTTTCATGTAGGACCCTTTGCTTTCCTTAGCCAGGATTGCTACGTTGATCTGATAATTGAGTTATTAAAAGATTTGGTTTCCTTGGGCTTATAAATCAATAAACAGTAGGATTAACTCAAGAGTTTGCCTTTTAAGTGGAGGGAAACGTGGAAGGCCCTTTGAGCTTTGTTTTCAGACCAAGCAGGTGAGGTATGGCTGGGCTGTCCCGGTGCCCTGCCCCCCTCCCCCCCAGGCAGGGGTGTCCCCCATGCCTGCTGGGGGTGGGGGGCTTTGCAGGTTCCCAAACCCTTCTGCACCCCCTCACCCCCAAGGCTGGTCATGAGTGATCTCCTATTTTCTCCCCTTTCTGGCCTTCAACCTCCTCCACCTCCATTTCCCCTCCACCCCCATACACATATTTTCAAAGACCTGAGGTATGCTTCCTTGGGCCCCCTGAGATCACTTTCTCTCCAGGAGCTGGATAGGAATGAATGGGTAGAACCTCAGCCTCCGGGACTCACCTGCACACACCAAGTTCCTCTGTGCAGGAGTCCTGGATACCAGTGTCAAGGAGCACATTTGTCATCACCACTGATGTCCTGTACTGTGTAATACATTATGTGGGAAGGAATTAGCACCCTTAGACCACCCGATGTCTCCTCCAACCCCCAATGGTGTGCCCCTCCTTGCCTGATGGGTATTAAATTATGGGCAGAAGAAAAGAGAACGATTGGAATTCATTTTTTTTTGGTTTCTTTCAAAAACTGGAATGAACACTATCCTTTACATGCCAACCCTGACCGCTCTTTTGAGCTGGTCTCTAAATTACTAACCTTGTTTTTGCCATCCAATCAAGAAGTATCCATCTATTGACTCTTCAGCACAAAGCTGTAGAGGGTACCGGAGGCTCCAGTGTGTACATATTTATTTATGCTTAATTTAATGGGAATGTGTAAATATGGCCAGCAAGTAGTTTGGGATTATTTATCTGTGAATCTATACCTCTGTGAATGGGTGGTTTTAAAAAAAAAATTACCGCTTGACCCTAGGTAGACTTCTATCTGAACTTTTCTGTTCTTTATAGACAAGCTGTTATGGTATTGGGTAGAAATTGGTTTATTGTCCAGTGTTGATCCGATTTACATAAATAAAAAGATTGTTGTGTTTTTGTTGTGGTTTTACCTTCAGTCTCTTAAATGTGAATATTGCTTAATTTAGACAGAAAAGACATGTTGCGAAAGCAGTTTTCTTTTTGTTTCCCCTGCCCCAGGGTTATTCAGCATTTTTGTTACAACAGGATTATAATAAATTTTGCTTATCAAGAAAGATGAACACTTTTGTTTTCAGTAAATATTGTTTATTTAGCTCTGCCATTCCAGATGGATATTTTTTTTCTCACCTGCTTTCAGCCAGGTTGGTAATAAAAGTTAATTTTGTCTTAAAAATAAGGTAGGAGGCACATTGACTCCCAGGGTAACTGAAAGATTCTGGGTTGGCATCGAAGATGAGGAGGCCTTGTTTGTCTGCTGATAGGATGGCGTATGGCAAAGTAGGATGGCGTATGGCAAAGCTATTCCCAGAAGGAGGTGGTACCCAAGCCCGCACCTCACAATGACCGGGGGCATGCAGGAGTTAACTGTACCATTCCAGGATGGAGTAAGACCCTGACCTCATGAGATACACAAAACCCTCATGAGTCAAATGGGGGAAATTCCCCTTGCTAAGGAAGAAGAAAGCTGCCGTGTCCCGGAAGCTAGGCTCCGAGGCTACTTTCTTAGGTTTAGTCCATCTTTGAAACAGTTTAGTGACTAAATATGGCAATCTGTATTTTACCTCGAGGCTGGGGTATGTTGCCTAAGGAAAGCAGAAACAGAAACATCCATGATACTGTTCACCTCTCATAAGTCATTAATTCCTTTTTTTGGGGGGGGGTCATGGCTTTCCTCTGTACAATGTGAACGACTTCAAGTCCTTTCCCTGCACCATCTGCCTAATTTAATTATTAAAACCAACATGCAAGTACATTGAAAGAGAATCAGAATGGTTGACCTCGACATCAGATTACATGAGAGTGCTTCACTGTGAACGGTGTGCCTCTTCTACAGCTTTCTGTCTTTCTGGCCAGTCTTTTCTACATGGATTCCTCCATAGGGAAAAACAGAAGGGACCAGGGAACCTATTTGACATGAGATTTTCTTCCTTGTTGCCTTTGGTGTTGAGTTAAAGTGCAGAAGGCAGGTAGAGTGGTTCTGTTGTAAATAATGAACTAGAAAAGCAAGAAAGCAATGGAGGAAAGAAGGAAGCAAAACAAAGCAAAAACCCAAGGGAGTGTAATGAGGAGTCCATGTAGTCCCTTGGCTTGTTTTGGTCTTGGCTCCATGAGTTCCTCTTCCATTTGCTGGGCAGAGTGTGTGGTGGTTGTGACACTGGGGTTATAGGAAGGATCCCACGCCAGGCTTTCTTACAGTAGGTGCACGGGGGTCCTAGAGGATCAGACTCACAATATGTCGTCCTGCACGCCAGCACTCATACCCGTCCAACATTTGACAAGGAGAGAGTCTGAGGTTAAAAACCCCTGTTAGCTCAAACTCAAGATCCTGAGGGGTGGGAGCTGTGCGGGAAAGAACTGGAGGAATAACCTAGAAGGGTCAGAAAGCGAAGGGAAAGGAATTGGAAGCAGCAGACATCTGTGTCTGACAAAACTCCTTGAGCTGCTCTTCACAGCTCCAGTCTCTGCCTCGCTGTTTCACCAGGCACCGGAGGGTGGGAGGGAGGGTGGGGCTGGGGTGGCTGGCTAGGGTGTGACCCAGGAGGAGCAAAGGTTACCACTCTTACCTGCCAGGAGATCAGTCCAAGTATGCAGCTCACAGGCACCTGTAATTTAAGGGCCTGATTAAAAATGGAATAGGAAGAAAATTATTATTAGGCCACCTTACTATTTGCAAACAACATACTCACCAACCCTTCTCCCGGAGACCCTGAAGATCAGAGATAGGAGCAGCAGCATTGCTGGTCATGTGGTTGACCTGTCCCTCTGGTCCTGAGGACATTCGGAGCACCCCAGGAAAAGCTGACTTCGTGCTCCGACTTGAAGACTATGCTGAAGTCTCAGAAATGAACCGTGTAGCTCACGAGTCCATTCATGTTACTTTCCCAGCCATGTGTTTGTAAGTGAACCAGCGCTGGTTCTCTGAATCCAAGCCGATGAAGTGGAAGTCTTTCCCACACATCTTCCCCGTGGCTTTGACCACGTATTCTCTGCAGATCTGACTCACAAGGGGGAGGGGTGGCACACCTCCCTCCTGGGTGTCCTCCTCCCCCGAGGTTGCAGAGGTGGAAGGGGTCCTGTGAGAAAGGGAGGGTGGATAAGCCACGCTGCGTTCTTGACTGTGTTTCCTTGGTCTAATGCTGTACTCACGCCATGCATCTTTCCCATCATGAGCGGCCGGGTCCTGACCGCAGCTCCTCTCGTGGCTCACGCGGAGCTCCTGTTCAAAGCCCACACAGGCACTGTTGTGCACATGTACACAAACACAGCACCCCAAGGATGGGGTTTGCAGG